AGTTCATACATGTCAGGACGAGAACAAGTAAACAATGAAAACAGTAGGAATCGACCGGGAAGAAGGGGGGATTCGGAATGCCACTCGAAAATGAGGTTACACTAGATAGGGACAGAAATTTATGATGAAATGACAATATATTGCTTTTCTTACGGGAAACTAAGGAAAGGGGAAAAACTGATGTCAATGTTGAAAAATTAACATTCCTACACCTAAATAAATTAAGTGTTCTTTATTTTATTATTTTCTTTTGTTTCATTTATTTTTTATATTCTTTTTGTCATAGAAAATTGTTAGAGGTATGGTTTAACTACCTTGCATTGTTTTATGTGGGAAAAAATTTCGGCAAAAGAGACTTGTATATTCTCTAAAATCTATGTACTCGATATAAGTAGTACACGAGTATCCACGATGATATACCACACAGAGTAGCAGAAAAGGAAAAAAGAAATATCTTACCTTGACAAAAACATAGTTTAGTTTAGTAATTCTGTAAAGTTTCATATAAAAATGGTCCTCTAAATCTGGTCGCGAAAATGTCTCTTGTAGTAGTAATAGTCCCTTATTTTCAGTTGTGCAATTTATTAATATCAAACTAATTTGTTGTGTAAAGAAACGAATAAAGCTATTTGATTTGTGTTCCTTTTGGTGGATAAAAATAAACGTCAAGTGATTGGTATTCCGATAGGTACATACTATGCCCCTCTAATTGCAGATGTGTTCATTATCGCAGCTCGTGGCTAACATCAATATAGACCCAACGAAACGCTACAATGTAGGTGATATTTTTCATAATATTACCTGCCGAAATTTAAACGACATATTCTTCCGTTGTAGTCCAGTTTTACATAGAATACCTATGAAATTTACCAACCTGATTTATAATTTCTCAAGGAAGTCTTCATATCAAAATGTATGATAAATGGGACAACTACAAGTGTTTTATACTTATTTAGCTGTGTTTCTGTTGTTTGTTATTCTAATGTAAATGAATTATGTCTCTTCTGTACGGATATATATTGTGCGTATTGCTAGTACACTGATTGAGAGGTTTTTGTTGAGGGGTCATGTACTCGCAAAACGATAATGTCGGAGTATTCCTTTTTCTTTTTGAAGTGAATGGGAGGGGCTTGGTATATCGTTTTTTTTTTCTATTTATAATAGCAAATATTTAGTACTTTCTGTTGAATCCATTCACAGTTCAGACTTAGGGATACTATATATAGCTTGACAGATGGTATGGACGATCATAAACGAAGGCCTGTTAACATCTAGATTGCTTTCTTGTTTATATATATGAATTTATGGTTGCTGTTAAATTGACGCTCACCGTTCGTGTGTTCAGATAAAGTCCGTTTGAAATTTGCAATTTGCATTTTGTTTTTACGACATTATTTGAACTAGTAGTTCTATAGAAGGAATACATTTTGAAAAGCAATAAGCTAAAAGCAAGTCTTGAAAAAAGGGAATCCGCAACTAATATTTGAAAAAAAGATGAATACGTTATCTTATTTTCCAATCAACTGCCTTCATACAAAATCGGCTTTATCATTTAATATATTTATTGATCAGTCAACGTAACCGGATAGATTATAATCAATTGCCTTATGCCTTTATTCTTAATAATTAATTGAAAACGTCGGCATTGTCTTTTACATAATAAGCCTAGATAATATAGTTAATGGATACACAATAACAGGATAATAGATCATCCGAACAGTGTGATCAAATATGGCTTTTGAGTACAGCAGACTCAAGACCTGTCCTGAGTTTTTGTTCGTATGGCTATGAGTGGTGTATAAATTCTGGCTTGAAACCTTACATCCAAGACATGTACTTGTAGAGTGTCTAGCTATTCGTAGGTAAAAACCTGACAAATGGGTCTTGTGTTGACTTCTTAACGGCAATATTTCCTAGTAACCCTTGTGTTTTCCATTGACAATAGATACTGTCATTGTCCGCTTCTTGACCTCCTGTTCTTTCTGTGCATTCTCCACTGGATTTACCTCAACAATTCAATCTTTATTATCCATACCACTTACTCGTGTAGTCAACAGTGTATACAGCTATTATCAGTGACATGTCAAAACAATTTGTTCATTGTTTTCCTCATAATTAATCTATTTTTCAATGACACATACATGATTGAGTGTTTTGAAGTAGTGACTATTGTAATAACGGCACACCAGGCTCTTTCTAACTTATCAGACGAACTTTGAAATACCATCCCCATCCCATGTATGTGCATAGAAGGAGAAGTGAAGCATAGCAACCCAATTACACAAATAACCAAGAAAGTATGGCGATTTGTAGTACTGGTATTATGATTTAAAGAAAAATGAGGGCTAAATGAGATAATTGCCTTACAACACCAGTTAACAAAAAAATAAACAAACAAAACAATACTTTTGGAGATCTTGAAGAAACTGAAGTCAATAATATCTGGGACTAATAGTATTGGTTCCAGATAATATTCATATTGAACTATCATTTTTATCTGCCAAATTTCGCATTCATGTTAGGCACCTTAATTAGGCGTTGCCAGTTTATTTTCGACTTATGAGTTTAAATGTCCCTTTGGTATCTTTCGCCTCCGTTTTAGATCTTCTAGTTTTCCTTTATTGACGATTCTATTGCATATCCGTTTACTTGTTCGTCGTTAGCTATTATAGTTTGTTCAGTATATCTCTTTTATCAATCAATTGTTAGATGCATGAAAGCTTACATTGTACTCCGCATTTGAAATGTGTCTATACATTTATGGAAACCAGCTGTTGAAATATCGTACTCCAAATTGAGCCAATTCTCTGAGACACGTGTCATGCACACTGACATCGCTTTAGCATATTTATTTTAATTGCGTTTGAGGGGCGTACTTGTCAACATGTCGATTTTGAAGTAATTTTACGCGTAAAAATACACGAAATAGGTTTGTGATGGAGGAAGAATAGAAAGTTAAGAATTCAGTATACAATCTGAAGTTATTTTTTTTACACAATCTGCATTGCCCAGCGTAGCATTTTTAAAGTAGTAAATCCATTTTTATATTTATTCCTTTGACTCGGGGTTAGATTAATTGTTAAATTCGTCAATGGACAGTACACATTGCATGTATTGACGAAACTTCATTAACAAATCTGGCACGTAAACATTAAACTATCATTTGGGTTAGGCAACGACCATTAGTAATTTCGAATTTTAAACCATCCTGCCCACCTCACCCCTCCCCGAGGTCTCACGAACACTCACACACACACAAACAGTCGATGCCTAATGCAGAATTTCGGATCTGCGTGTTCTTGCTATCATACAAATTTTAAGAAAGCATGGGGCCACAGAGTCATATTTTCTGATATCTTGTACAGTAAAATCCCTATCAGTAACCGGCTTGGGGATTTGAACATTTATGGTCATTCCACTTTGCATATTATTAGCTCTAAATAAATAAGATCAGAAAATAGAAAAGAAACATTGTACCTTTTTTTCTTGCTAATTAACAAAGGAGGTAATTTATAGTTCAACTTGTTACATATCCCTATAAAATCAGTATTGAGTATTTAAATTTATCAAAGATTTTTTATATTATAATAAATGATTGAATTTTAATGAAAAGTCTTACCTGTTAAATTCAGTAAAAATGTTCTGATCAAGATGGTGGAATACTCCGGCCCATGTTACCTTATATAAAACCCGTTTCGAGCATTTCTTACATGTCAAAACTTATTTCTAATAAATACATTTCAAAAATTGGAGTCATTCAATTTAAGAAGTATCTTTCAAACAATTTCTTCTTATTACGGGCTTGGTGGGGATTGGGGACGGGGCGTCATTAAATCATGAAGTTCCTTCATATGGAAGAAATATTCTGTAATATTGTTTCCTCTGGAACAAATATTACAGTATTTTTTCCTTACGGAAAATCGATTATAGAATGTTTGTTCCAACAGGAACAGATTTTATTGAGTTGTTTATAATAAAGTTGCCAGTAGAACTTCTGTTAGGCGGAACAAATATAAGTTTAAGTTGGGAACGGCCTAATTGCCTCTATGTTTAGAATTCTTTATACAGATGAGATCTATGATTGGTAAATCAGTACTAATTTAATTTATTCGGCGTTTTACTTCAATTTTTTCACAACTTGAAAATCCACATTGTATATGTCGCTGAATGGCAAGCAAGCATCAAGTTATCAATTAATAGTATGTTGTCGGTGTATATAATCATAATTAAAAAAAATATAAAAGACTCCATTTGATTGATTGCTAGATATGGAGCTTACGTCCAGCGGCATATACATATTCAGAAAATTACATGTTAATGACATATGACAACCTTGCTTTGTATAAGGCTGACACAGCGAGTCGGACATTTAAAGGGTTTACTTTTTTCAAAAGGTAATAATAGTCCAAATGAAGACTAAGAAGACAGGACACATAAATTCTGACTTCAAGTCGATACCATTGAAGTTGTTCTGTTGATTTGAAACAAAGTGGTTTATAACACAATTTGAAGAGTAATTCTTCTCACCAATTTTATTTAAAAATTAAACTTTTGAAAATGTCTGTGACCAACCATTCATTCGTCCTTCTTTGTAGAACACGAACTTTTGGAATTGTCTGTGAACAACCATTCATCCGTCTTTCTTTGTAAGATATGAAACATCTTATTGTTATACCTACTTGCTGTTCTTTGTTTTCTGACAAAACGTTTGGTTAGTTTAAAAATATTTTATTGTTCAGAAACTAAACAAACGAATGAATGAGACATAAGTTTTACAACTTTGTAAAGTCTTCTCCAGTTTGGTTGATAAATCTTTCATGCGTTTTTATATACAAGCTTTAATTGTAAATTATCAATCATTCGTTTCTGTGTCGGAAGTATTATTGACATTAAGAAGAGGATACTATGGCATTTATTTTTTTAATGCGCATACTCTTAAATATTAACTACGGTATCAAATGACCCAGAAGATTTAAAATGTACACGAAATATTGTGCATTTTATATTTATTTTAAATCTGCAAGGGGGAATACGTGATTTGGCAAAAAGTAGAATTAAAGAACTGTTAGTTTGTTTTATAAATACGTGATTTTGGTATATAGTGCGATCAAATTAAATGTTACTGTTTGTTTTTATAGTAAATAGTGGTTTTAAATCAGCAAATTAAATTAAACTTCATTGTTGCAAATCGACAGACCATTCAATCGTATGGACTAATTGTCTTTATTTATAACGCATTCATTTGATTATAAAACGGTGAACTATTCAGGGTGACAGGTAGAATTGCCGATTAAACAGTCTGTGCGTGGAGTTTTAATATTTCACTTGTCTTGATATAAACAAAATGTGGTCACCAAAAGGTGCTACAAGGAATCGTGTATCACCAATTCAGAATGGACATACCCGTTATGATAGCGATGTTAAATCGGCAAAATCTTCAAGTGGTATACAAATTGACATTGAGAAAAATGGCAAAATTCCGTCATCTTCGTCGAATGAATTAACAAAACTTATACGACGAAGAAAATACGACAAATTACACGTATCTAAAGCTGGACATTTGATGTTGAATAGATCAGAAATACATGGAATTAGGATACCGCCTCTTTCAATACGATTAAAGTAAGTTGACACGAAGGATTTACATAAAATGTTTCTAAAAGTCAACATAAACACGATTGTTACATGTATTTTAAGGTTATAACAACTGTAATATAATGACGATAACAATAATAATGATAATTTAAGTTTTTATTATGAATACTTTCCAATTCTCATAATCCCATGCATGCTAAACTTTATCTGTGTATACCGAAATAAAGGGACCTATTTCTGTCGTTTGATTGCAATTTATTATTGTTCTACCTTAAAATGCTTTGAATTGATCTAAATTTTTGATTGCTCTATACAGAGACATATGTCTCTGCTCTATATGATGACAACATTCAGAACGTGTTTTGTTCCAAGCCTAAATATCATTAGACATTTCCAAAATCTATGAATACAGTGTTCGTAAAAAAGTTTTTTTTGTCATTATCTGCCATTTGTATTATATTTTATTTAGAAAGAAAAAGTTTAAAGAGTCCATTTTGGTTAACTGTTCGCCAATGAACACGCATGTATTATTTTCTATTAAAGAATTAAGATTTCAACAGTCTCAGACAAAGGCGACTGTAAACGGTTCTGGTTTATTTAGTGTGGTCGTTTTTATATGATTCTTTGTATTTATTTGCCTTCCTGACGTTAAATTTCAAACTACAAGAACAACGATTTTTCATGAAATACGTGGAAAGCTTGACTGGAACAACAGCAATCTCACAAAAAATCCGAGGTGTACTCAAGTTACATTGAACGCAGAAATATATTGTTGACGACATATATAATGACTAGCTCAGTTCAAAGCGAATTAATCTACCGGATACATTTTGTAAGATCTTGTACGTAACGGTTAACTGTTTCAATATTTTTTGTCGTCTTTTTTTCTATCTATTTTCATCCGTTTATATCAGATACCAACACGTTTCAATATGTTTAATCTGGATTACACCTTTCAACTATGACATAATTGACAAAATAGTGTTTTATAATACAGATAACAGCGGTTTTTATACTTAAATCCCAACTTGCATAATTTCTATACAGTATAAGCACATTACATTTACAATTTACACATAACTGGTTTATTGTATTATGCACTGATGATTCAAAAATGTATCCGATTACTTTTCCTGGAAAGGTATTTTTATGATGAAATTATTTAGCTAGTAACCAGTTTATGAAAAATATTAAAACATTTTAAGAAAAAAAAAAGCTTTTGTATAAGCCTTTTAGTAAAATCGCAAACATTAACTTTAACCGGCGAAATATCAAACTTAAATAGTTCATTTCGTATTACCATTTCCGACGATAAGTTGCTTTTCCAAGAGGGCGAGAGTTTTAACATAACAATTGAAGGGTGTTGGATGAGAAGGTTTGGAGAAAAAGAAAAAAAAAACGGGGTGATGAATCCAAGGGGACAATCCAAAAACCACAAATCCAATACAAAAGTAAAACACCACGACCGAAGATAAAAACGATGAAAAAGCAAACAACAATCCACAAAGCACTACACAGAAAACTTGATCAATACGAGTCCCGATAACAACCCGTGGTGAACTCAGGTAGTCCGAAAGGGTAAACCGGTCCTACTCCAATAGTTATATTGTCGTGTTACTCGTTGCAAGTAAAAGCCGATGTTGTAGTGTGGTGTGGGATAACAGTAGCAAAACAATAGTTAGAATAATTTTTGATAGAATCAGTTCAGTATGAAGCTGCAAGGATAATAACTGGTCTGCGAAAAGGCACACGTCAAAACAATAAATAGGATTCTAACAAAACAAGCGCAAAAACAGAAACTTTGCATTACATATTAAACCTAGCATTAACTTTGATGTTAATTATGCCCTTAGGCATTCCAGATTTTTTAATTTTGCACTTAAACAAAAAAAGTTTCTTCCCAATTACACTGAACTTGTGGAATAGTTTAGACCAAGATTCCAGCACATTCCAAACATTTCATTGCAGCTAAATGATGATGTGCCAATTCATATGCTCAGTTTTTGGTTGCATCTATTGACATCAATATAATGCACTGACAGCTTCGTAATTAAGCTATTAATCTCAAAGATCACCTGTCTCAGTCAAACTTATCTGACAGGTCCAAGTGTTAGTGGCGATGCAATGGAGGATGATTTCCACGAAAATTATGTTTGTCCCTTCTTCATGAGACAACGGATACAGCTTTTCCGTCACCTCAGTAAATTTCAAGCTATTTTAGATATCCATACATTTGATTGGTTCACTTGCTTTAAAAGATAATGAAAATGTAGAAATTTCAGTAGTAGATAAAATCTATATAATACGGTACAAGAAGATTCTCATAGATTTGATTAATTTCATGTTTAATATAAGCAGCGTAAAGCAAATTTGCAAGTCCACTTCATTTGAACTTTGGTGGATAGTTGTCTCATAGGCAATCATACCACATCTCCTTATTTTTATATTTATAAGGACAGAAATCATTCAACCATTTCCATCTTGTTTGTCCTTTTTTGAAATATTTATGTAGTTGTGTATAAGTCATTACTAAACATAAATTTTCCTCCCTTTATCTGTCATGCTATCTCAAATGTGTTCTTCTTTCATCCTTGTCCTGTGAATAGAGATAAAAAAAATCACCTAAACAAGACGGCATAGTAATCTTTCATTCCACCGGGGCAAAGAAGTGTTTATTTATTTCATATATTTTATGGTAAATTGAGACTTTAATTTTACTTTAATGATACGTGTATATTATGGATTCAAAAGAGTGTAAGAATCGAGCTTGAGTGGAAAATTAATAATCATCTGTATAATTGCTACGAAAACGTTTTGTATTTAGCTCTTATTTACCTGAACAAAAGTGTTGGTTAGAAATTCGAGATGCCTTTCAAACGATTCCATCGATTTTGGACCGCCAAGTTTCTTTAAATTTCCGTTTAAGACAAACAGTATATTTATTCCATTATCGTTTTTCTCGTCAACTTCTTCAATTTTTCTATAAAGGTCTGTCGATAAATGCAGTTATTGATAGTGCTGTGAATTTCAGGCAATTTTTACTGTTTCTATGACGTATTAAAAAATCTAAATAGATATACAAAACGCAATATTTTATTTACCTATATTATATTTATCTTTATGTAACCCAATCTTTAAGTGTTCTAGGTTCTAACTGTTGCTCTGTTTCCTGTTTTAAGCAACATAATTGTATCGTGGCTAATGCCAAAACATGGCAGTACTAGTAACACAAACTTTAAATGTCTTATAATTCACAAAACCGAAAAATTGCCGAAAATTGTGAATGATTTTTTGTCATTTTGGTTGCCATTGAAAGCAGAACCACTAGCTGAAATGGTATTAATCACTGTTAAGCGGGATTCTCTATGCAAGTAATGTAGGACTGAAAATTACAAACTGTCAAAATAGGCAATCGTTATACCATTACATCTAAATCACTCAAAAGAAATTAAGATTATTCAAACCCTGTAAATATAAAGTTCGACCATCCTAATTAGGAGAAACAGTATCTGTATTAAAAATTTGAAGGCATCAATAAGTGATCGGTCGAAATCTTCACATACAACATTACTCTTTGTTTCATCTCAATCATTATGGAACTGACAGGGAACACCGCTCAATCATACTATTTAAAATCAACCACACACATGCACTTTCGCACATGAGTTCAGTCCATCAATTGTGGAATTGACGCCCTTAATTTTGTGGCGTTATCCAACTAAAATGAATGTACAGCAATGTTGTATTAGAATGGAGTTTTATACACGGAAAGAAATTATCAATGATCAAACAACACGATACTCAAGAAAGTCCCCATCCACAAACATATAAACGAGACCAATAAAATAGAGATAGTAAAAATTGTAGGACCTAAGATAATACTCCTTTCGGTCAATGCCTGACAGAATTATCTGGCTATTTAAAAATTCAAACCACAACGTTTGGACCAACTTATGAATGCAGGGCCATGGTCGTAATAAAAACTGCATCATGCTTGATGCGTGCTGCAGACGACAGCTAAAACCTTTTCATATAGAAGCAAAGTCAAGTGATTTCGATTGTCCTTAAAGTCTGTGCATTTCACAAACATTTATACCAGCAACGTGCTTGTCTCACTTCCTTCCCGAGATTGTTTTCCCTTTCATATTAAATTACGATTCTGTATCTTTTTTAAATGAAAACTAACATTTTAATATCTATTTTATAGAAACAAACTGTTTGAGAAGCCTGTAAAACCAGTGAAAGGGTGTGATGCATGGAAATATCACCAGAAACAGGTAGGGAAAAAGATTGATGGCAAACAGATACAAGATGTTATGAAAAAAATTACCAAATAAACATTGACATCAAAATATTGAAAATAGTCATGTCAGTATTCACATATGATGATCACTATCGTGGAAACAGTTCAGTGTTTTTGCCCTTTTTGTTTCGTGTGTTTTCTAAATTTTTAGCGCAGTACTTATATCTCGAATTTACATATCGTACAAAATGAAAACTGTATATAATGTTGTTTATCTTATTCAAGTGTTTATAATGATAAAAAAAACCATTATGATATGGTTTTAATTGTATTATCACAGCACGTGAGAAATACGGTAAATTATGTGTTATTTATAATGGTATTTTAGGTTATCAACACACGTTCTCCTTATAAACTGTTCATCTATGTCACTATTTAACTATAGAATACACAATCACCTGCAATTAGTATGGTATATAGCTTTAGTCATTGTCTTTCTGTGAGTAAATATTATTAATAATTATTGAAAAGATATTTCTTTGCAAGATGCATAATTTTCCTAAATGAAAAATTCATATGGATAGAAAATAACAGATAAAAGGTAATACAATTCCAAGATAGTTCCAAAATTGAAAAATTCATATGAGGTGGTTATTACTGTGGTTACATTAAATACTCTTTCTTGTTACGTCATAAATCAATTAAAAGTCGTCAATTTGAATTTTTGAGATTTGATTTCGGTCTTTAAGTTTTGTTTCCGAAAATATTTTACATGGTATGCATTTGCTTCATTTTTTTCTGTATTTATAATTACCAGGACTGGACTTTTATTTATTTATTATTTAAAAGACACGGAATAACCTTTCTAATGGAAAACTCGAAATTTATTTTATGCTTTTTGTCTATCATTTAATTTGTTTTCAGAACTGGAGAAAATTTAAAATAAGTTTAAAGGAAACTGGGTATAAACTAGAACTATGGAGATCGTGGTTCAAGAGAATAGAAGGTAATATAGCTACAATCCAGTTAGACCTTCTTCGTTTATCAACAAACGCGACTTTAGAGTTGATGATACTTGTTACGAGTTACACGACAGTTGCTAATTGTAGAACAAGAACTGCTTACCCTTCCGGAGTACCTGAGTTCTATTATAATCTTGCGTTGGGGTTCGTGTTGATCAGTCTTTAGTTCTTTGTATATTGTATAAATGGGTTGTCAGTCCTTCGACATAGGATTCTTAGTGCCCCTATGGTATGTGCCAATTTTGTTAACTCGCCTTTTCTACAAGATACTGGTGTGTATTTTTAACATTCAAACTCATCAAAATCTTAATTCTGTGACCTTTGAAAAAATCGTGTTTTTTGCTTTAGATTCTGTACAATTTGATTTTCCTTTCAGTACAGCTGTTTCGGTACTTTAGAAGTGGCTACTTCCGTCTCATTAAGATCGAATGACTATCGGGATTCACTTACTTCTGCCTCATTACGATCTAATATAATAATAAGGATGTGGTATGATTGCCAATGAGATAACTATCCACCAAAGTTTAAATGAAGTGAATGTAAGCAATTATAGTGACTACTAGTATCACGATTCGCTTAGAAAACATTCCACCTATACCGTTCGTAAATAAGACATCATTTGGTCATTTGATTATTGGTCCTGCATAAGCTATACAATTGAGTTCCAAATTTTCAAAAAAGACTCCCAGAATGAGATAAACAATCACAATCTCATGCAAAATCTCATCAAAGTTACATGGCTTGTAATTTGCTACGCCAGGCGCCCGTTGTAAAACCTCATCAAAGATACCAGGCTTATGAATTGGTACGCCAATGTTAACAACTAACAATGATATCAACTAAGGCATTATCTTTACGAGCCTTAAAATATGGCAAGGTGCTTGCTGCTCTCGAGGGGTTGGAATATCCTTTCCCTCATGATACCACGACGTGCTCTCAGTGTTGTTGGACATACAATTACCATTGTAAAGATATCAACAAAAGATGGAAGTGAGCACTAACTCAGTGTCTTGAAATACCGATAACAGTAACACCGTGTATTATTTGAAAACATTTTTGGTACATGTAGTGCCCGTAGTGTAAGTTATACACTGGAACTAACAATGACTAGAATACCCCTATAACTAGGGGTTGGTGGTGGTGATTCATTTGGTTTTTGGAAAAAACGAAGTTATACTGTTATTTCATTTATGGCTTTTTGACACATTGGATCGCATTGACACCACTACTACACTCCTTTATTTTTTTCTGAAAAAGACGTCAACATTCTCGAGCCTTCATGTTAAAATATTCTTTTCGTGATCAATTTTAATTTTTCTCAAAATGAAATATAACGTTCATTGATTCATAGCGGCTAAACAAAAAAAAAAGAGAGAAGAAATTGTATTAAGAGAGTATACTTGAAGAAAATGTAAATTTGTTTAAATCATTCTGTCCTTATTCTTGACTGATAAAAACACGCGATATATTGCAGATCGTGACTAGGTATTTGAACACTTATATTCAGTATATAATATTTGTATTTACTAGCTGTTACTTAGAACTGAGTCAATTCGATCACTCATGCGATCAAAATAAAATATGAAACTTTTTTTTTAAAGATTTTTAAAAGAAAACAAAGAAAACTACACCCAATACGTATCACGCATCGACTGGTAGATTTAAACTTTTCCCCATATCAAAATGCAATCTGTGGGGGAATTTTATTACCACAATATTACCATTATTGAACAGATTTTCATGACACGAACTACTATATAAAATATATGTTTATTGTGTAAATTTAAAGGTCTAATAAATGACCTAGATGTTGTTTATCAATAACATTATTTGACTAGATTGTATTTAATTTAAAACTGTTTGAATGTTAAAATAAACGGTTGTATGTTTCCAATTTTTGCGTCCATCCGTCCGCTGCGCCGTCCTGTTTCGGGGGAGAATTTGTTAATGAAGTTGATCACATCAACTTGAAACGTAGAACTCATGTTCATTATAATGTAAGCTTTTAAAAAGAATGTCAAATTAAGGGTGGTTTTTATTTCTCAGACTAAATGAACATTGAAATTTGATAGTGCGATGTCTATGGACACATATTCTTGTTTCTTTTCTTTTTTTCTCCTGAAAGTTAAATATAAACGTTCTTAACCAATTTCCGTGCACTGTAACCGAGCCAATATTTTCTTAAGATAAAACATACATCGTGCACATGGGTTACTTTGAAGACAAAACCCAACACTAAATATAAATGTATTGTTTTTTCAGGTCACCAAGGAACAGGAGTGCTGTCATACTTTGTGTTTTTGAAATGGATGTTCTTTTTGAACATTTACTTGTTTTTGATAATGTTTTGGTTTGTGGTGTTTCCTCCAGTTGTATTCGACAAAGAAAGTACTTACACTACTGATGTAACAGGTACCAGTGTATCTGGTGTTTCTACTACTAATACCGACCAATGTTCGACAAACTATGATAACAGCTTAAATCATTCAACAAGTGGAGCTAGTGTTATCCAGGATTTCATTCAAGGAACTGTAAGTTTTATTTTATACTGGTTTATGATTAATCGACGATTACTCATCGAGAAATGGTCGTCATCGTTCTAATACCAGGTCTATATAAGAACAATTACACCCAATTTACAATAACCTTGACAAATCTCACTACTAGCCTTGTTAATAGTCTGCTCGACTGTCTTCTCTACTACTTGATTGTCTATTATTGTCCTTTGTATCCCAATGAATTTTTTAGAAAACTATTTAGTAACGCTTCGAATACCGGGAAATTAGTTTGTTTGGTGTATAAAGCTCATCAATTACTTGATTAATCTTTGTTGCCTTATCTTGTTTGCTAATGGATCACATGTAACTCTGAAAGGCATGTTTGTTTCGGATTGATTTTTTTCGTTTAAATTGTTTCACATTTTGTCATGTCGGGGCCTTTTATAACTGACTACAGGGTATCGGGTTTGCTAATAATGTTGAAGGCCGATTACCTATAGTTGCTGTAATCACCTTTATTTCGACTCTGTGTGTTAGGGGACGACCACTTGATATTCTGAGGAGGGGTGCAGAATTGTGAAATTAAATAGTCTGGCCTGGTTAGGATTTAAAAATAAATAACCTCGCCCAAACAAAATAAAAATGCATATTTTACCCAACACAATGCAGTAAATAAAGGTGTACAAAAGTAAAAAGTAATGTTTGCACGTCAAAACCGTACAAAGTTGAACATTAATTTCCCTCAGAAAAAAATCCACCTTCCCCTAAAAATAGAAACTGGTTGTCCCCTTAGTTTTCTCATTGGCAATCATACCACTTCTCCTTATTTTATATATGTCTTTCAAAGAAACAATGCAACAAATTGAAATATATAAATATACCATAATCGAAAGAACAAAATTTATTCTGATCCATGAAAGATACTACATTAAGTGCACTTTATAAAAAAGGACGACAATGGCGAATGACGGACGTGTACTGGTAGATAATAAACTATATAATGGTAATTTTACATTATTTTCTATATGACCTTGGCATAAAGATACTAGTATACAGACGTTCATAATGGACGAACATATTCTTTTTATCGATATGGAGTTTTCATCTAGTAGGGGAAAAAGCTATAGAGGTACACAAATATGCTTCCAATGCCACCCCCACGGAAAACCTCCTTCATGCATGGGCCATTTGGAATTGAATATTTCAATATTTTAGGTGGACCTTCAAATGTATTTCATCTCGTTGACTTTTTTCTAATGCTTTACATGATCTAGATTGATTTGGAAAATATTGCTTACGTCCCGGGGACACTGTTGTCATGAATAATTGTGGCTTTCACCACAGTAGATTCGCCGAAAATACCCTTATATTTATTTTTGGGACACCGTCATAAAGATTTATCATATCAACCTCTACATATCACACAGACTTCAATACATGTGAAGTATGTTTTAAAGTAATGAGACTATGTGCATAGTCATATGAATTACGCACGTGAATTGACTGAGATGGCTATATGTAACGGTCTAGAAGAAGTTACAGCATCGAAGTCTATTTCTATATTTCGTGGATGTGGTTATTTGTAAAAGGACTTGCTATACTTAGTATATTATACATATCCTTATAATCAATTTCAATTAAATTTGTACATGTGATTCTTTTGTGAAATGTAAAATTTTTTAGGGGGAGGGCGATGGTACAGAGATCTATTGAAAGTATAATAGGGAAAAGGAACTTCATATGATTGCTTTTTTATAAATCTGACATACGGTGAATACTACTATGCCCCAACCAGTTAGATAAAATAAAATTTAGTCAGAGGCTATTTATAATTTGTACGACTTTGCCCCCAGCAGAGCTATAGAAAAACAGTACATTAACGGGTGTTACACGGACACTTTTTAGATGATACACGGACACTTTTTAGTTGTTACACGGACACTTTTTATGAATAGAATCACTCGTGCATGATCAGTGAGTTCATGGGCACTTTAAATTTCAATTAGATTTGAACTTTTTGTTTCACCGACATATTTCCTGTCTTTTTAATTAAAAATATTTACGTTAGCATCAATAACTATATTTTTTTTCAAACAATTCCAGTAACTATTCATATTAGTACACTAAGGGGTTGACCATTTAACTTCAAAAGGCCGGTTATGGTTTTTTCCTAAAAAAACACATTTTGATCCCCAATTTTATGAGAAAAAATATATAATGGTCAAGCAGATGACACTGAAAATAATGTTCTGGCTCCTGATTTTCCGAATACTGTATATAATAGTGCTGATTTCGAAAAAAAAAAAAATATTTGGGCGATAGCGTTGATAAACTAAATAATTTTCTTACTCAGAAAAGAACACACCCCCTTTTGAAGCTAAATGGTCGGTCCGTAAATGTATTTTTTTTTTTCAATATATGGACATGAATAGTATTCTGGACAATGCTGAAAGAAATGCTGGTACCAACGTTTATATTTCAATAAAAAGACAGGAATTATATATATATAAAAATCAAATCTAATCAAAAGATAAAATCCCTATCAACTCACCAATGCACGATTGATCCTATAAATAAAAAGTGTCCGTGTAATACATGTTCAAATATGCAGCAAATCGTAAAGAAAATCATTCAACTTATGTCATCAATTTTGGACGGTAAGCTCTGATTGGATCATATAGTGATCAACACTATCAGAGACATATAAAAACCTATAAGCATGAACATTTTTTTTTTTAATCCAAAACATATGCCTATATATATATATTATAATAACAAGACATGGACATGGCACATCCTGCATTTTTCAACAAAAAAAGGATGAAGCCTGTTTATTTTAAATTTATTTTAACCCCCCCCCCCCTAATAAAATCAAATGGTAGCTTGCTTACCTCTGAAATCTTTTTTATACATTACTTACTTGCGAAGTTGCATTTCAAAAAGTCTCAAATGTGTATAACATTCACCTTTAACTTGAAATGGTTCTTTTTATAAAGTTATTAGATTCTTGAATTTTTGAGAAAAAAATCTCGGCTGAAGGGAAGTGAGAAAAAAATTGAGTTTAAACTGTAACTTACATTAACTGGTATATGGCCATTTAAGTTTCTAATATCTTTAGTTTTGCTACCTCTTCTAAATGCAAAATGTACTTCTTCCTTCTTGAAACGTCGTACAAGTCAGATACAAAACAAAGGTAACAAAAAACAGGCCGGAAACAACCTGCCGTATAGTTTGTCTGCACTTGTAGTCAGGTCAAGGTCCTCGGCTATCGCCTCGGACCTTGACCTGACTACTCGTGCAGAAAAACTATCCGGCAACGGTTGTTACCGGCCTGTTTCTTTGTTACCTTTGTATTGTATCTAATACATAACAATGACTTATTAACTCATTGACGAGTTTATACGGCCAAGCCAACTAATTATCTGGTATTCGAAGCGTTACTAAATAGTTTTCTAAAGAATTCATTGGGATACAAAGGACAATAATAGACAATCAAGTGGTAGAGAAGACAGTCGAGCAGACTATTAACAAGGCTAGTAGTGAGATTTGTTAAGGTTATTGTAAATTAGGTGTAAATAATTCATTCGTCTATAGGTTCAGAAAAGGTATACATGTGCAAAAATTTAAATGTCAATGGTAGATAATACACTAAGACAATAAGTGTCGACTTACATGCCCTGGGGACCCCTTTTCAAGTTTTACAAGAATTTTCTACTTAAAAAATTAAATTATATCCTTCACACCCATCGATTACTGAGTGCTTCCGTACTGGCGAGATATTAATTGGAGATCGATACTTATGAAATTTTCCGCTGCCGTTAGAGGTAAAACATTTTCAATTCTAAGGATATCCATCCGATCTACATTTGTATCGTAATTGGTTTAATGTGTCCCTTTGGTGTAATATGGAGTTATTGCTCTTCATTGCTTTACCATTATTAGATTTTATAAAATTTATAGAGAGAAATAATTTTCACAGATGCACCGAATTTACTTCAGTATTTTTTTTATTTTGTTTAACGACTACTGGTAGACCCCTGGATCAACGTGTTAGCTATTGTATTTAATCTAGTTAAAGTCATCTTTAATATTGTTGTTTGAAAAAAAATCAGAAATTGTTCAGTGGGAAGGTTATGCTCCAGATTCTTTTGTCGGTTTTGGCGTCCTGTTTTTGGTGTTATTTTGTTAGCTGCTATGTTTGGATCTTCAACCTACACTTTGTTGCACAAATGACGTGAAATAAATTGTTGAAATGGTATCTTCTGATTTTGCGTTATAAACAGTATTAGGTGAAGTAGAGTCATTTTCGAAAAGTCTGTTCTTTGAGATTTCATATTCTGGACGTTTGATGAATTTCAAATTCCTAAAGTTGGTTCGGATCCGAAATTCTGATATAATTTTACAACTTTTGATGCAGATTATCTATTTAAAATTTGAATAGGAAGGACATTACACATGAACACCAAAATAAATTCTGGTACTGTTGATAGTAAAAGGTACATATTTATCTTTCAAGTCATTTGGTTCAAGATTTTCTTCAATGAAAAATCTTACAAAATAGTGTTTATATTGTATCAAAAAACTGTCATCAACAGCAATGAGTAGGACTAAATAATAGTTTTACTATAAAGAAAGTTTTCAAAGTGGGGATAAATCTTTCGAGTGTAGTCGGAATATCAAATTAAACTACATCACACCAACCACCGGTTTTGACCATGCGAATGACCAAAGTGGAGAGTCACCATACTGGCCTCTTTATTGCAACACATATTAATTTTTCCTCTTAGAATGTTACGTTAGGTATAAGATATCGTGTTTCTGTTATTTTCTGTAATTAGAATTTTAACCTTTCTTAGGATAATTTGTGCATTTTGTTTGTTTTGTACATGCATATGTGTTTGAATCGGGTTTAATGAGTAGAGAATGATGACAAACAATGAATTAATGGATGATAATTGGGGGATAAAGAATAAATGCCCCCAAAAAAATTAATAGAGAAGAAATGATAGCAAAAAATCTTGGTTTAGAGAGCTTCTAAAATACAAGCAATAACCTGAAGAACAGAACAAAAATAATTGGTTATAGTAAAGGCTACATGGATATTCACGCATTCGGATAACACTTTAAGAGATCACCCCCGGATTTATGTGGGTTTCGAGTTGCTCAGTCTTTAGTTTTCTATGTTGTGTTTTGTGAAAAGTTGTTTGTGTTTTGGTCTTTTTCTTTTTTTTTGCCATGGCGTTGTCAGTTATTTTAGACTTATGAGTTCAAATGCCCCTTTGGCATCTTTCGCCTCTCTGTAACATAAACTGACCAAACATATCTCGTCAACAGAGCCTTTTATAGTATTAGTCATGAATAAAACAGAATAACCGGTGTGAGAATATGTAAAGGTTATTAATTGGGCTGGTTACGCGAAACATACAGAAGTCCTCGTTTTATTTTTGAACAAATAAATAAATTCAATTTGGTTTAATCAGAACCAAGTCAATATTTATTTTAATGTAATCAATATCTTCACATGTGATGTCTTTACGGAGAATATTCGATTATGTTCTGAGTTAACCCAAGCTAAACGTTTTTCCAAGATCACATTAATTATTTAACATAAAGTTGCTATACATATTTACATTTTGTCAGTTAAAAAGCAACTATCAAGTGAATACTTATGTAAAATACATCCTAAAGTTACTTAATGAAAATTGCTCATATCTATTCAACAAATTTTAAATTTGTTACATGTTGGTTTTAAAATATAATGAATTTAATTTCAGGTGTTCGATAATATCATAACTATACATAATACGTTGTTCCTTGTATCAATATTCTATATGCCCCAATAAAAAAAAATGTAACTATCAAAAGATATATATTTGCATTGTACTTGTTGAAAGATGTATTTACACAATGACCTAAAGGAGTGATACCGGTTCCTCTGTGTCTATAGTTACAATTATTTCTTTATTGTTTTGCAGGGATGGATGGAGAACACGGCTCTCTTTTATGGATGGTACCCTGCAAAAGAGATCAATATTACATCTTCTAACGAATATTTAATGCCATTTGCCTATTTTATGGCAGTACTTGGTGTTTTATTCTTCAGTCTTGTAAGAATGGCAAGATTGTAAGTTATTTAAGTATACTTTTGTAATTATGAATTAATTAATATAAACTCATATAACATGGCTGCAGCTTCTACATGTACTGTAGAGTAACTTGTAAAAAATAAGTTGTTAAAATAAAATAATACATAAAAAGGTGAACATGAATCACCATATCTACTGGAGCTGGACAGTGCACCTGACCACTTAAACCACCAAATTAAGTGAAAGTGAATAAATTAGAATTGTCAATTTTTAAACTTTCAAAAGCGGGAGATCACCGCATGAAGAAAAATTCTAGAAGGAGATTGTCGTAGATTTTCATAAAATTTGGTCTCAAAATTTGAAGTTAAACTTTAATTACTATTTCAATTTTTTGATAGTCAACATCTAAATTGCCACATTATGAATAGATTTCTTGTAAATAGCTTAACACAACAAGCCATGTAACTTTGGCACTTTAAATTGTGCAAACAAACATGTTTTACACGTTTGTTGCTGTATGATATCATATTTGTTTTTTGTTCATTGTTTTGTACATAAATCAGGCCGTTAGTTTTCTCGTTTGAATTGTCTTACATTTGTTATTTCGGGGCCTTTTATACTGACTATGCGATATGGGTTTTGCTCATTGTTGAAGGCCGTATGGTGACCTATAGTTGTAAACTTCTATGTGATTTGGTCTCTGGTGGAGAGTTGTTTCATTGGCAATCATACCACATCTTATTTTTATATTTGACAGTAATTTGTTAATTCTTATAAAAAATGAAAAAAATAATTCTTTCATGCCATGCTCTATGCTCTTTTTAACATGAGTAGGCATTATATTTGTCAATATCTTTATACAAATATTATTTTAGCTCAAGCGTGATAGGAAATTGTGTAGGGGAATTTGCCATGATAATAATTGATAGAATTTTACAACTGTTACACCAACAAATGAATGTTTATTGCATTGTACAATGATTGCAATTTCAGTAGTAATAACAATCTAAATCTTTTTTCAGTACAATTAAAAGTTTTAAGGAAAACTTAGATCAAAATAATCAGAATGATAAAGTAGACTATTGTAACAAGATATTTGGAGGATGGGATTTTGCTTTGGATGACGAGAATACCGGTCATGGCAAGAAAAACAGTATTTACAAGGATATTGTTGTAAGTAGTTGTAATGTTGCATTTTCCTGAAAGACGCCTTAACAATTGTGTTCCAAGTGGTTCATAGGTTTACCTTTCAAAAGAGCTTGGAAAAAACGAAAATTTATGAAAAATGTAACGTTAAACCAAAACCCAGCAGTCATATGCTACTTAGTACGTTGTAATTAAAAGTGGGGTAAAAGGATAAGGCTTGGATGTTCTCAAGCAAATTATTGTATAAAATAAAACATGAAAAGACCAAGCCTTAAACGCTGTTCTTTGTCCTTAAAGGTTTTCACCTTAAGAACCCTAATCTTAATAGAACAATATTCAGATAGTCCCTAAATTGCTCAAAGATGAAACTTCATCACATCATAAAATGTTTTAACAATGACAAGTATGAACACAATAACAGGATCTGATAAAGTTGTATATGCAAAATAAAGTATAATTACGAATTTCTTTAAATATTTATGCGTAAACATATATCTTGCTAGTGCATACAATAATTGACATATGAGCTGCGTCGGATAGAAATCGACCTTATGCAAATGTATATCAATAAATCTGTTAACCTAATTCGGGTTGAAAAATCTCTACGGTTGTACGGTTGTATAAAGTCTATAACTGTTTGAAAATTGAGTTGTTATAAGAATCCTACAAAACAGATCAAAATTATTTTTTTTTATTTTGTATTTGAATGTTCAAAAATCAATCAAAGTCTTATACATGTACACGTATACGTGCACTTGCATAATGTCGATTTCTATCCGGCGCAGCTCATATGATAGAGTCGGACAAAACATAAAAAGAAAAATCTATTGGACAAAGCATTGAAAAGATAATATAGTGTAACATAAACTTTATATTATATAAGAATACTTTATAATATCCTATATATATATATATATACGTCTAAATATGTGACAACTTTACGACAGACGTTCTCCATCGGATAAACAGTGGTTATACAGGGATAACACCATAATTTATATATACTTCGTCTCAAATTAAGTCCAAAAATGTTAGATCTGCAAATTTGCGTTAGCAAAGTTTTGTTCTTCCCTCAGCGGGATTCGAACCCTTGCATCTGAGACATCGTGGCAACACCGCCTGCACTTTGTCAAGCGCCATAGACCTCTCGACCAACTAGGCTCTATAAAAATATAGATTTCGTTAGTCGAGTAATGCCCTTCCTCGTCGGCTTTATCAAGGGTTGTAACACAGTACATGATGTATAGTGGCAAGTAGATGGTATACCTTGCAGATCAGCTGTTTTTTGTCTGTCGTAAAGGATGAAAATGTTACTTACCATGATATAACGGCCATCAAGGTAAGTAAAATTATCATCCTAGTTGGTCGAGTGGCCTAGGGCGCTGGACACAGTGCCGGCGGTGTTGCCACGATGTCTCAGATGCAGGGATTCGAATCACGCTGAGGGAAGAACAAAAATTTTCTAATATTGTTAGGCTAAATTTGAGACGAAAATATAAAAGTTTGTTGTAATATTCCAAACAAGTCACATTATTTAAAAAAACGGAAAAGATGAAAATGCACTATAAAATAATTAATATATATATATATATATATATACAGTATATTTTCTTCTTTCATGTAGTTTAACTTATTCATAATTTTACACAAGTTGTAGCAGGAACTGAAGGGATTAATGATGCAAATAAAACTAAATTTCCACAAGCAGATACATATTATCGGATGGTACATAGATTTATAATTAAATTACATCGATGATTCATTAGATCCCTTAATTTCAAGTGGCAGACAGCACTCACAAGGCTTTCCAAAACTGTATTCTATTTTCCAATAAACGCAACATTTATGACTACACGTGCTCTCCATGACAACTTTACAAAAAATAACAGGAAAAATAAAAGAAAACTTTATTTAACTCGTTATTTCATTGTTATATTATAAAAATGAAATTATAAAAATTGGAAAAAAATTTTTTTTTTATTTAAACTGTTTTAAAACTGTTGATCTTGCAAACATAGTTAGTATGAAGCACGGAATACAAAAGGTACTTCGGTCTACGCTTTTACACCCCAATAAAATTACAAAAAGAAGCATGTTATTAGATAAAGCACATTATATGCATCAAAAGTACGATTGTTTGGGGGCAAAACTCAAGGCGTACCTTAGATATGCTACTGATATTTGATATTCAAATTTTCATTTTATAATTACTAGGCTAACCTTGCTCATCAGAAGTACGTTTTAACCAGATCAGAATGGACATCGGGTCAGAAATGTAAGACCTACACAATCAGGGTGTTGGTTAACATCTTTATTCTGGCTATACTTGGTGGAGCAGGATACTTGATCTACTATGTCAACAAATGGGCAACTGATGTAAGTAAAACAATGTGAAAAACAGTCTTTTATATTTATGTAAATTTTTTTTATGATTTCCTAACTACTTTTTATAATAAAATATCTTTGAATAATGATTTATTGCAATGATTTTTTATTTTTTTATTTTAATAAGTAACTTATTGAGAAAAATTAACATGAACAAATCTACAGTGGTATGACTAAGTAAACTTGTTTTAATTATTTTTAAATTCTATAAACAGTACCTTGCTACCGAAGCGTCAAGTGGGAGTGTAGTGATACTTCTTGTAGAATTTTTGCCATCACTGACAATTACTCTCCTGAATGTAATAATACCATTGTTGTTCGAAGTACTGGTCAAAGCTGAGGATTACACAGAGGAGTTTGTCATCAAAATTACATTAGTAAGGTAAATACTGCTGTGTAATTGTAAATGTTGTTGAATTTAAACTAAAAACTATCTGACATAATTTGATACCTTTTGTAAAGTGCACAATTCAAAATATTTGAGGTATAGATGAGATCTAAGTTTGCTTATCTATGATGATGAGTGATATTTATCAATTATGGACTTTTGAGGAGGTCAATACGTTATATATGGACCTGTTCAGATTATAATGACAGAGAACGAAGTCCGAGTGTCAATATAATCTAACAGGTCCATATATAACGTATTGACTGAGTGAAAGTCCTTAATTTATATATTACATATGTAAATAATGTATTAGGAAAATGGCGTTCAATGTTCTTTCTTGTATTTTTAAATTGTATTTTGCAAGAATTTAAACATGTTATTGAAAATATCAATATTCTTTGAACAACTTCATAGCTTGTTGCGTTAGCTTTCTTGTATTCTTAGTGTCTACGTTTAACATAAAAATTCTTGTGATAAACTTGCAAATTTTCTTTTCATCTGCTGCTGCGCCTCCATGGTTGTTATGTGTGACGTCATGATGTCATTAATCTAAATTTAGCAAGATTTTTCATATTGACCGTCAATATACATATAAATAGAAACATAGCGTCAATAGACTTAAAAAATGAAACAAGGCTTCGGATACATAAAATAACATTTGAAACACGTGATCGTAATATCCAATGAAAACAGGAGAATGCTTCACCATATGTAATATTACAAAATGTTTCATTTATAACATCTAATCAGGTTTAAATCTTTAAGTTTTCCATATTAATAATTTCCTACACAAATAACAATAATAACCAAAATTACCATTTTGCTTTTTTATAATAAATAATTGTTGCAACAATCATTCTTGTATTTTCCTATCAATATAATAATATGGAAATGTAGTATGTATGATAGCCACTGAAACACTATGTATAGTCACCGTGCGGCCTTCAAAGATGAACAAAACTAATACCATTGTGTAATATTTAAACGGCCTTGGTATGACAAATACATTTATACATCTAAAAATAAAACGCATTTATAACCAATACAAAAACATATTTAAAAAAAAAAATCCCGTACTCTTTAGGTAAATTCAAAAAGGGGAATTCCATAAAACCTGGAAAAAAAACCGCTCGACTATATCAACCAAAAGAACGAATGGAAAAACAACTGTCATATTCCTGACTTGGTTCATGCTCTTTCCGAAGAAAATGGAGGGTTATACCTAGTTGTATAGCTTGCTAAACCTCCCACTTGTATGACAATTGTGTATAGTTTCCTTATATTGGCAAAATTGTGTGAGCAAGACATAATTGGTGAACGAAATTATAATTCGGATTCAGCAGTCAAAATTGTGTAAACAAACATCATAGATATACGAAACAACTGACTTTAAAAAAAATCCAGGCAAACGTACAATTATATATAGCAATGACGCCAACATAAACGTTTAAATAGTTCACAGAACAGTAAAGTAAAACATAATGACATATACACACTTTAAGTAAAATATAAATACAAGGGTATAAAAAATAAAAATTACACTATAAAAACTTTATATGTCCGAATCGTAGCTGTGGACCCACAAGCATCAGGAACGACCAAACCAGTTTGGATGCTCAAATACCGAGCAATGACAAGAGTCATATAAAGACAAAGTGAAAATTGCAACGTAAATAAAATGATATACAACATCAGCACCTAGATTTTATCACTCAAGACCATAATGTGTTATTTTAGAAGTTGACACTGAATATTTATTTGGTCTTGGTACCTTCCGATGAACTTTTTGGAAAAAGGGACGAGACGTTCTTTGACAAAACCCTGGCTCATATATTTTTGCTCAGACAACAATGACGTTTTACAAAGTCTGAGTAGCATCTGCAAGCTTTTGAATATCTTCTGAGTTGAGAAATGGATACTCCATACTTTTGTTTTGTTGCCATTTAAAAGACTTAACAATTGCAGAATATTTCTTCCTTAAAAATGATTACGAATCTTCATACTATTATAAGTTTAAAAACTTAATTCATACAAAGACGAGACACAATGATAACAATATAGATAAAAAAAAACGTAATTCTTATTAAAACGGTTAGGACTTTTCGGTGTTTAAAAGCTCTAAAACTTCGTATTTGATTCGGCATTCCAACTGTTTTTTATTCGAGTGGTTCTGATGATACATAAAAATAAGAGGATGTGGAATGATTCCCAACGAGACAACTCTCAATCGAAGACCAAATGACGTGGAAGTTAACAACTACAGGTCATCATTCGGCTTCAACAATGAGAAAAACTCATACCGCATGGCAAGCTATGGAAGGCCCCAAAATGACAAATGTAAAACAATTCAAATGAATAAACTAACGGAATAATTTATGTACAAGACGAAAAACACAAATATTATATTCAGCAACTAACGAGAACTACTGAATTACAAGCTCCTGACTTGGTCACCAGGCCTTCATGAGTCTTTTGTAGACGAAACGTACGTATGGCGTACAAAATTGTAAATAGATATAAGAAGATGTGGTATGAGTGCCAATGAGACAACCCTCCATCCACGTCAAAATTTATTAAAGTAAACCATTATAGGTCAAAGTACGGTCTTCAACACGGAGCCTTGGCTCACACCGAACAGCAAGCTATAAAGGGCCCCAAAAATTACTAGTGTAAAACCATTCCAACGGGAAAACCAACGGTCTAATCTATATAAAAAAACGAGAAACGAGAAGCCTTGTTTCTTGGATGAGTTTTAAGTTAACCCCAGAAAACCTTTCCAATGTCATCATGACGTGTTACTTATTTAGGCGTTTTTGGATAACTAAAAAGGTGCACAACCCCAAGACAACATATGTGCATTTTTTTGTCGATCGTGAAAATAATTGTGTCATTTATTAAATGGATATCACTTTCGCGAAAATCTTTTATTAAAATTTTTGCAAGATTTGATAACCATACAACCTGACAAAACATTCTATAAATGAGTTAGGCTGAAAAAGACACTAACAGTTTGAGGTGTTTATGTACAGTGTAACTGCATATAGAAATAGCCTTACACTATAGCTGTACACATCTATGTCATTTGGTCTCTTGATGAGAGTTGTCTCATTAGCAATCATACCACATCTTTTTATTTTTATATTAATCAAATATCATATGCTGTGGATTCATTAATTTCCGTTGGTATCAATTTTCGTGGTTGAATAAAAACAGTTTTTTCGAGTGTACTCGAAAATTTTGTGATTTCCCATTTACTTCAACGAAATTAACTAAACACATATTTTCGTCGAGTATGTAAATTGGTTGATTCACCCTTACCTTCAAAATTCATGAAAATTTGAAAATTGGTATTCCAATAATATAAATGAATCCACGATATCTCAAAAGACCTGCGAGCACATTTGTTTACAAAAATTGTCGGAAGCAGCAAGTTTTATTTTGTTGGTGTATCTTCCTTCACAGTCAATAGTCTTTTGTTAAAACCATCACATTCATTGTTTCTTAATAAAAAAAAATAAAAAGCCACCCTTTCCGAAATTCATTGATTATAAGTTTTATGATTTTTTTAATTACATTAAATTTTGTTTGTCATTCTTTTTGTTTTACAGAACTGTGTTCCTTAAATTGGCATCACTTACAGTTTTGATGATTTCCTTGTATATCCAAATAAGCTGTTCAACGAAGACAGCAGACTGTAATGTTTGTTCAACAATTATTGTAAGTATTTATTTACACTTCATTCCCCATTTAGTATGAATAAAAAAATACAAATATGGTGTATGTTCAAACATCCAAATGTACTAGTATGTCAAGTAAAATTTAGACATTTATATGTATAGGTTATACAGTGTACATGATTATGTACGCGGGTCTGGCTTGCAAAAACTTTAAACCTGGTATCTATGGGGAGTTAATATATAACCTAACAATCATTCTTTGTCAAAAAATAAATCTATGAAAGTATATATTTCTCGAAAAAGAAATGTGTTTGGTAAATTAAAGTTTCTTTTAACCGAAGATTTTGTAAATGATATATTTAAATCGAATGCACATTCTGGAATAAAATTAAAACCCTGAGGCTTTAGATTTGATATTTACTATGGTGTAAATGAAAATCACACTTAATAAATTTCGTGCATCACTTTTCTGGATTCACCTCCATCAGAAACGCTCAAACCGAAACATTTGAAAGCCAAAGATGTAAAATAAAACGTGGCCACATTCGTAGCTATACGATCAAAATGGACCTAAAAGAACAACACAATTCATCTTATGTCACTCTTACCTGGGGGAGTTGTAACCTTAGTTTCAAAATAGTTTCTTAATTTATCAACATTGAATTTTAATTTCTAGAAATGCATGTTTTAAATTATGTCAGTATCGAAGCATTGGCTACTGAGCTGATGATACACTCGGGCACTAGCAGTCCACAAACAGAGATCAAAATACCTTTGAAAACTGAGTACCTACATTTTGTAGTTTATTGAAATTACATAAAAAAAACACCCAAAAAACAACTGTAACACAAACAAAACAACAGTGAATTTCATTAACAAGTATATAGACACCATTCATACTGTTGATGATGAATAACAACTTGTTTTATCATGTACCTGTGTTTTTTCAGTGTTGGGAAACATATGTTGGCCAAACATTGTATAAGTTGGTAGTGCTAGATTTCTTAGTGCACATCCTTGTTATATTCTGCTATGAACTACCACGCAAGTAAGTTTATCACCACACATGCAGATCAACTGAATTTTGAAAACAGTATGATTAACGTTTTTAATTGGCAATGGAAACTTTGTATTTTTTTATTATTTTGTTTTTTAACTGTCATGAGCAAAACCAGTGTCAAACCTTCAAATTGTTCGTTCTTTTCTTTTTCATTTCCTAATAAATATACCCTCTTCACAATTCACAGATATAACTTTACAAGTCGCACGTGTCTCTTGTTTTCTAAATCTGGATAATGTTGTTTTTATATATTTTAAGGCTGTGTACCACTAAATGTTCTTGCGGTATTTGTGCCAAAGTTGGCCCTGCTGAATTCGATATTGCCAAAAGTGTACTTGACTTAGTGTATACACAAGCACTCTGTTGGTAGGTTATTCTCAAATAAGTATGGATAAAGAAGTTTAATGAAGTCTTTCTATCTTGAGTATTAAGAAATCAAATGTGACAGACAATGATACTATCGTTAAATTGTTGTTTTGGAAAAGGTATAAAGTAGTATTCTATAAAAGTTAAATATCAAGTGCCATTTATCATTTGCAAGTTTGCAAATGAATGGCATTGCACGAACTCAAAACTATTTGCTTTTTTTGATATTATTGACTGCATTTACTGGAAGCTAGTTCCAAGCCAAAAACAACTATAAAAAAATCATGAATCCAAGACAAAACATTACTTTTGTTTTATTTCAGAATGGAATTCTGCTGCCAATATTTATTTTGTAATCTTATTTGAAGTCATTTGTTTATATGCGTTCATATTTAATCAATGTTTTATTTTATTTTATTTTGACATTGTTGCTTTTTTAGGATTGGGTTCTTATATTGTCCACTGCTCCCTGCATTAGCTGTTATATCTACTTTTACCCAATTTTACCTCAAATTGGTATGTACTTTTATATATGATTACACTTATTACTTGTTTTAAATTATTTAACTGAACTAGTATGATAAAATGAAGTTGCATAACTGGAAAGAGTGAAATGATTGCCAAAGCTGAATAACACTGTGTCATTGAAAATAATATTTTATGGTTTTGGTGCGTCAGAAGCGCTCTTCTGTACAAGTAAAATAGGACTTTTAAAAGAATAGCCAAATCATCCTAGGTCAGCTTTGCCAGAGGAATTTGGAACCCTAGTGTTATATTTATTTCAAAATTGTCAACGGATAATTTAAGAAAGGTATGTTTTAAATCGTGTCTGTACTTGTCAAGTCATTTTCACAAATCTTGTAACATTTTCAACCACTCAGAAGATATGCTCTTAAATAAAGGACAGAATTTCAGATAAAACAAATTGCTAACAGGAATCTCACCAAAACATTTGAATCTATTATCATCATGTGATGTATTGTTTTTTTTCTGTTTTCAGTTATCTGCTTTATATACAACAGTTCCACCAGAAAAGCCATATAAAGCATCAAAATCTAACAATTTCTTCATGATTGTGCTAATGATCACCTTTTTCTTATGCTGTTTTCCAGTAGGTTATTCTATGGTCAAGTGAGTACATTTCTTTCTATAATCTGTCACTTTATTATTGTTTTTTTTTCTATTTTAATCGTCCTGTCACATTAATCCCTATTTTCTTAAGAAGAGAAAAAAAACTTCCGAAGATAACTAATTTAGAGTAAACCAAACAAAATAACCAAATTTTGATGTCTTTGTATATGACCCATGCTTTACCTGTTTTCATGCAAAATATGCAGATATAACAGAATGCTAATGCACCGAACACAATTTAAGTTATATTTATATGAAGTCTCTCCTTCAATCTACATTTTACTCTGACGAGGCGTTAAGCAGATATTTATCTTTCAATCCGTAAAACAGAGTAGCTAACCATAAATTTTATCGTAATTGCTACAAAAAAATGTAATATCAAAAATCGAAAAAATAAGATAGCTGATTATATGTTTGACGCATTTATGAAAAAAAGTTTGACGTTGATTTGAAATATTCTATTACAATAGCATTCTATTTTCAATGTGTTCATTACTTTATAAAGGTATGTGAATGGCCTGGTTGGAAAGTTTTAAACTATTAGCCAGATATCTTGAATAAGTTTTCGAACCACTGGGCCGATGTCACTGCTAGTGGAAGTTTCCTCTCAGAGGGTATCACTAGCCCAGTAGTCCACACTTCTATCTTGACATGAAATATCATTGATACGTTCAATTTCTGTACATTTTCTGTTGATAAAATGTTGAACTATTCGAAACACTAAGGTTTTTCTACCCCGGACGTAGAAAGCCCAAGTCATATTTGGCGCATCTGTTCGGAACTTTTGGTTTCCAATGTTCTTCAACTGCGTACTTGATTTGGCCTTCTAAGTGTTTTTATTCGAGTACCACTAACGAGTCGTAAGATTCACCAAAGACGATAGGCTTATAATTGTGTACGTCTGGTATATTTTGTTCGAAATAAGTATATATAAAAATAAGGAGATGTGGTATGATTGCCAATGAGACAACTATCAACCAAAGTTCAAATGAAGTGGATGTAAGCAATTATAGGCAACCGTACGGCCTTCAACAATGAGAAAAACCCATAACGTATGGTCGGCTATAAAAGTCCTCGACATGAAAAATATGAAATAATTGAAAAAACTAACGGCCTGATTTATAACAAAACAGTACGAAAAACAAATATGACAGACATGAATCAACAACAACAACTGAACTACAGGCTCCTGTCTGTATAAGTGAAATGACACATAAACAAGTAGAACATTAGACACAGTGAAACATCCTATTTAACATACCCTTAACATTTGATAGTGTCTGTACTAAGTCAGCACAATGACGTTAAAACTCATATCAAAGATATGCAAAGCGTCAGATAATCCTTTGAAGGTAGTTTTTAAAATTTTCTTAAATTATTTTGAATAATCTTATAGAATACATGCACTTCAAGATTGAAGGTTGTTTTTAAGAATTTCCTAAATTATCTTATAGAATACATACACTTAAAGATTGAAGGTAGATTTTAAGAATTTCTAAAATCATCTTATATAGAATACATACTCTAAAAAAATGAAGGTAGTTTTTAAGAATTTCTTAAATCATCTTAAATTATTTTATAGAATACATACACTTAAAGATTGAATGTAGTTTTAAAGAATTTCTTAAATTATCTTTAAACTATCTTATAGAATACATACACTTAAAGATTGGATGTATTTTTTAAAGAATTTCTTACATTATTTTATAGAATAAACTTACAGATTAATACAAATGTATTCCATATTCACATAGTCTCACACAAGATTTTTTAGTGTTGTTTTTTTGCATTGAGTTTTAAAAGACTGATAAAGTATTTGTTGTTATTGTTGCTCTTTTGTATATTACTATTATTTCTATAAATTACAGGATCGAGCCATCAAAAGGATGTGGGCCTTTCAGAATCTACAGTGATATGAGTGTTTCAGTTGACACCACAATAAGTAACTTCCCAGATAGATTGAAGACAGCTATTGAAATTCTTACATCTACATCAATGATCGTGTCTGTGTTGACAATCCTATGGTGAGTTAAGCTTAAAATTTATTTCTCTAATTCTTACCTGATTTATCCTTTTCCTGACCTGTTAATTATTTTTATTTAATCAAAGGATGGTTCGTTTGATCTCAGTTCTTCATTGGTCAAAATTCTACTATGACGTCAAATGTTTTTGCTTTTCTCTGAATTTCCTATTGTGACGTGAAAAAAGGCGACAATGCTTGATGACGTCACATAGAAAAACACATCTTTTGGAAGATCCTTTGAAAAAAAGGATAAAGGTTGTCTGTATAGTGTCTAAAAATCATTAGAGATACAGATTCCACCACCAAATCTCGTGCAAAACGATATTTATTCACTCACGACAGTTAAATTTTCAAATTTAAAACGCGAGGCTCGTGGATAAATATCGTATCACACTGGATAAAGTGGTATAATCTTTATATATCACATTATAAGTTGCGTTTAATTGACAGAATATAACACTTAACTTATCAGAATAAATGTATGTACCTCAAATAATAGAACTTTTGGTATGGTAAGTCAGTTATTATCCATAGTCAATAACTCTTATACGATTTTTACAAATACTTGAATGTGATTGATCCGTTATAACTTTTTTCCTAGGTTTTGATTTGTCTTCTTGATTGGTTTATAAATTTTGAACTTCAGTAAACTACTTTTGCATAAATTATCACTTAGATAGATCATGAAACTACTTTCATCACCAATTTTAACACTAGCCGATTTCACTGTGAGACATTAATCATGAATGACATCCTGTGTTGACAAGAAAGTTACATTTTTAAAAAGATTTTATCTATTGTACCAGTTCTTTCCTAATGCGACGGCCTCCCAAACAGGTTATACACACTAAAACATAGTTCCCAGCGATTCTCTTGTCTCAGTACATATGCACATATAAACTGTAAAAAAATTGGGTTATATTTTTAGAGAAGTTCATTCAAGTAGTGATGTCTTTAGTTTTGTCAATTTGCTGACTAGTTTGATCATATTGACAAGATTACTTATTAACTTCAGTCTTACACAATTAAGCATATACTTTACTACACAAATCAAAAGAGAGGCGGTAGATACCCAAGTGATATTCAAACTCATAAGTCGAGAACAAACTGACAACGCCATGGCAAAAACATGAAAAAAAGTTAAACAACATAGAAAAACTAATAAATGGACAAAAACGAAACCCAACAAAAAATCTGGGGATGATCTTGGGGGCTTCGGAAGGATTAGCAGATCCTGTTCCACACGTGATACCCGTCGTTTAACGCATATAAATTACGTTCATAATTCTTGACCTCAATAGTCATGACAATGAATACACAATAGTTATCAAAGGTACCAGGCTTATAATTTGATACGCCAGACGCGCGTTTCGTCTACATAAGACTCATCAGTGACGCTCAGATCAAAATCGTTAGAAAGCCAAACAATTATAAAGTTGGAAGAGCATAATGTATATTGTTTGATGTTCGATTCAAGAGTCTATCCTAAATTGAGGTAAATTGTATGGCTTTCCAAATACCGTTTCGATTCCTAACATCACTGAAGAGACATTAATTGTCGAAATCCGGATATGGTGTACAAAAACCTTTGTACCTTTTGTTTGCGGTATACCGTCTTTTCCACAAGTTATTGTTTTCTGTTTAGTATTAAATTTATAATAAAGATTCATTTATTACATCGGTAATCCGTTTATTTGGCAATCCGTTTATTTGGCAATCGCCAATGGCAGTCAGCAGGGTTTAAGAACATTTGTTGTTCGACCTGTTAGTCAAATGCGTTTTGTTAAAATATACTTTTTCACTTTTTTGGTCTTTTTGAAAATGTTGTTTTTGCTGTATTTAGACCCCTCTAACAAGAAATTTGTTTTGCATGCACACGTATAAAATTGCGGTTTGTATCCAACGCAATCATAGGTTTGAACGTTGTTTTCAATTTAGACTTGTTAGATGTTCGATATATATATATATATACATATATTTGATAATTAACCTATTACTTTTGATCTCATATTCAATGCTTGTTTTGGAAATATGAAGATATAAATTGAAAAAAAGTACGCTACATCCTCCTTTGACAGTCCTCTTTCCATCTATATCAAATGATTAATGGCATGTTAACAGAAGACGCACAAAAAAATAGTTAACCTTCACAAATTGAAACATAAAAGGAATATGCTTAAAAATGAAAAGTGCCCACATTTTTTGACAATAGAATAAAAACTTTATACATGTAATAAGTTATGGAAAAATTCCTGTATGCCACCCTTCAACTTTTCATGTTATTTGTTGCATAATTGTTTTCAAAATCAATAAGAAATCCCCAGGGAGGAAACATAGTAAAGTGCCCGCAAACACCCTTTTCGGGTAAATTTTGATAGACAAAAGATGTTAGTCTTAAGTCTTTCTAACTATATGTTCCATGTCCATCAATGATCTTGGATAAACTTAATGTAATTTAGAAGAATCATTATTAGGTAACTTCTTCTGTTTCTAAAAGATGAGAACGTAAAACTTGAATCAGGTAAACATTATCTGATTAAATATGAAATTGCAATTTAAACGAAGTTGATGTGTAAATTAAGGGACCCACTATTATTGACTCACATTTAGCTTATTTTATCCACTGAAGACATGCTTATGCTCCTAAAGAAGCGCAGTCAATGTAATTGTCTGTAATAGTGCTATATCAATGGTGTTTTTTTTTATGTCCCCACATACCAAAGTATATTTTGAAGTATTTAAACTACCCTTTAGACTTTTATTCAGTTTTTAGTTAATTCACCCAGGGTACACTTCAACTGAACTACTGTTTTATTTACAATATGATGGAAATTAAAAATAGAATGAAAAAGAACACTTCATATGAAAATATTAACAGTGGAACTGAACTTCACAAAGATACTGATTTAAGACGAATCACCTATTTCTTTCGTAATATTTCAAACTTATGTTAAAGCAGCCCATTCATAGATTCATTGCTTCCGTTAATCAACAATATTTTTAAAAAATCGTGTATTTGCGGGTAATGCTTACTGTTTGAATAATTGCAAATTTTATTTATTTGAGAAAAAAAGATGACATTAATATAAAATTGAAAATATATAAATAATTAATTGAAATCTGGAACAATCAGTTACTATTAATTATAAAATTGAAAATATAAATAATTAATTGAAATCTGAAACAATCAGTTACTATTAATAATAATTATTTAAATTTGATAAATATTTTATAAGCCCTATTATTTTCATTATATAAATTTTCACTTTTATGACGTACAATTTATTTCAAGTATGATGATATTGCTTTAATACCAATACACTATTTTTGTCGAAGTTTTATCTCACAAATTTATAATGTTAATAATATATTTTCTTTAATTCAATTCCCATATTTATAGATTTATTCATATATGTTGACATTTTGAATCTCAAAGTAAAACTTTAAACATAACACACAGGCATTGTGATGAAACATAAATTTTCTACAACAGTATCATTCCACGTGAAATAAATGTTACGCGATATTGGTGAAATTTGCATCATGAAGAAGTAGATAGCTTGAAAAATATTTATCAAAGAACAATAATAAAATATGTATATCATTGGAAAATAATAAATTGTTAAATATATCTACCAACTATTCATATTTGCAATACATATAATATCAATTACTTCTACAAATAGATAAGTATTTGCGATTTGATATAACATAACTTTTTGCACGGTGTACACAATGTGTGAAGTTGTGTTGATTTAAAAGGCGGGCGGAGCTAACAATTCTAGCATGAGTTGTTTCCTTACAAAAGGGTTGTTTTCATAAACATTTATACAGGTTATTTGCATACAAATTGATAATATTTGACGGAATCAGTTGATTTATTTTTCTGCCAATAAAAGATCGCCATTTTTTCATTTAGCCCCTATTGTAAATATTTATGATATACAATATTTCACATTCTTGGTTGCGGAGTACGAAGTGAGATTAATTTTTTCCGTAATTCGGCAAACCCCGAAAAGCTATTCGTGGTGCGGCTCCTCAACGTAAAATATCCTGTTTTTCACACTATATGTTCTTTGAAAATTCATTTCTTTGCATACAATAAATAACTCAATAGATTTACACCTTTATTCTATGTTACTCTGCTCTTCAAATCAGCACAAATGGTTTCAGTCAGTCACTTTTTAAAAACTGAAACATGTCCAATGCCACTGCATAGGTATTTTTTTGTTTACATTTAATGTTTGAGTACCACAATTTGAGTCGCATTAGGGATATTAACTCATATCCTTTATACTGTTTAGCGTTTGACGCAAGATACAAGTTACGTATGTTGCAGATTTCAAATGGAGATGAAGACCACTGATAAAAAAGTGTCTCAACCTTTTTCGTCCATTCAATGTCCATTTTCTGAGCATTAATGAAATCTGGTTGTTATTTTTTATTCCTGCAGTTTGACGATCTATTACCTGTATGTGAGAGGCAAAGCCCATAATGAAAGAGCAGAAGTAATGAAAGAACAACTTGTTATGGTAAGTGTCATCCTACTTACTGAAATCGAACAGCAGGTGTCGAATAAATTCCCAACTGATGATTAGTACTGTTTAATGGTCGAGTCCAAATTATTTTGCGAAATTCATATTTTTTAAATCAGTTTTTAGTCTAGTGTTCGAGATAATGACTATCTGTTCAATCGGTTCACCTTGTGAATTAAACAGACAGTCAATCACTGGCATTGAAAGACTTTTTTTACACTGCATTTTCTTCATTCTAACAATATTTCAAATTAAACGGGGCTTATATTTTCACAAGCTACTTAGTTGTCAGTTTGAAGACATGATTTCAAACTGAAATTGTTGTCATGAAAGGCCTTTCGACTTTGCCCGAGGGAAATATGATTTTTCGAGGGTGAGCAAATCTTCATATTTCACGAAGCCAAGGGAAATGAATGTTTTATTCCACTGCCTATGCTTTGTTTACTACCTGAACATAAAATATTAGTTTGCATACATTTTTTTTTCTTATCCGCTTGTTTTTATAACTAAACACGACATACACATTGATAACGTCGCACGATGTAATCCCGACATTTCAGAGGGGAATATGATCCTCAGAAGGGAATATGAAGATTTGTTCAATGACACGTGGGATAGTCTCCACCAATCAAATATTGATTAAACTATCAATATGTATAAACAGTGGAATAATATACATTTATTTCCTATGCCTGAGGGAGATATGAAGATTTATTCACCCAAGAATATTCATATTTCACGAGAGCCCTGCCCGAGGGAAATATGATTTTTCGAGGGTGAGCAAATCTTCATATCTCCTGAGGCAAAGGGAAATGAATATTTTATTCCACTGCCTATGATTTGTTTACTATCAATACATTAATTATTATTTTCTTATCCGCTTGTTTTATAAGTTAAACTAAACATGACATACACATTGATAAACTGTACGGATCAAAAGTTCATTTTTAGTCTTTTTGTTTTATCGTCTGAAATAAATTTGAACATGATAATGATTTTTGCTATCACTATTTTAAGAAGAATAAGAAGTTCAAAACGTTATGTACATTAACCGCGCGTAACGTCGCACGATGTAGTCCCGACATTTCAGAGGGGAATATGATACTCAGAGGGGAATATGAAAATTTGTTCAATGACACGTGGGATAGCCTCAACCAATCAAATATTGATTAAACTATCAATATGTATAAACACTGGAATAAAAAGAAATAATTGTACTATATGAAAACAATTATTCTACCACTCTTTAATTAGGAAAATCTCTGTGTAATATATCTTTCTCCTTATTTAGGTTCTTCATTTTATGTTTTTTATGAAATAGGAAGGTAAAGATAAACAGTTTTTGCTTGCAAAAATGTATGATATAACTGGTGAAACAAGACAAAAACCACCTAAACAAAACCCGCCTCCACCAACAGTTAAGACAGTGAATGAAGAAGAAGATGTAAGTACTATGTAAACTTAACTTTGTGTCATTGTATTCATTTCTTTGTGACTTATTCTCATTTCTAATGATAACGATAATCACTAGTCATGTACCCTTAACATAAGGACTCAGAACAGGGAAGACAATAAGGTGTACCAAAGGGTTCGTATTGTTTATGTGATTTGGTGAGATAGCTGACTAATGTTTCTGGTTGCACTTTGCTTACCTAATGATCAGATTTAAAACAATAAATTAAAAACATGCTTCATTTCACTTAATATCTATTGCTCTTAATACCATCATATATTTATAGTCTGTGTTCCAATTAAGGCATGATGCACAAATCGTCAATATTCATTAGATGATAGTACAAGAACATCAATTGTTTTTGTTTTTTACTGAACAAAAAATCAGTTTAAGAATAGGCAGAGGATACCAAGGGGGCAATCAAAAGTCATAAGTCGAAGATAAACCGACATCATGACAAACAAACAACAGTCTACAAAACACAACAGAGAAAACTAAAGACTGAACAACACGAACGCCATAAAAATAACGTGGGTGATCACAGGGGCTCCTGTGAATGAAATGGTACAGCTGTTTCTGTATCACAAAACGGAAGTGTCAAATTACAAAAATGTACGATTTTAGAAGATCACTATACATTGATATTACCTATATCTTGGTGATCAAATGGTAGGGCATGAAAATATTTTTTTCCGGATGAATTTTTAAATATTTCATATATTGTGTATCGTGTTTTATTCGACTGGCATGCACTTTATTGTGATTGCTATAATATCTTACCAACACTCTGACATTAACAAAATATCGAAATTTTATCAGATACATGTGAATAGTGTTGTCATCAACGAAGATGAAGAGCAAAATAAGAATACTCTTACACATAATGATATTAATCGGCATCATGCTAATTTGAACGATGAAAACGAATGTAAACAATGGGAAAATAATGCAAGTTGTTATCCAAATCAACACATTAGTCCAAATAGATCAAGAAATGATCTCAAATCTGCCTCTTATGTACACATTGATGAACCAGTATCTAAGAGTGGAACATCATCATCTGCTGAATTACAATTACCAGGATCCCTAATTGATAATCTAGATTGGTAGTTAGAATGGTATGAAATCATATAGCTGTCTCCTGTGTTGTATTTGTATTGTATTTGTCTCCAAGTATTACTCCAAGTTCTCTTGCATGTTGAATATAAATGTAATAAGTGTTGGTATCTTGGTCGTTGGTGTTGTAATAATTAAATATTCTATAGGAAATATCGAAAAGTACTTTTGTCTGTTGTGAGTTGAGCTTATTTTCAATTTTTTTATACTACCAGTGTTTTGATAATTGTTGCCTTTTTCTTTAACTATTATCAAAGCAACGAGCGTATTTTTGGGGCCAGTTTAAGAAAGTGTTTAATGTGTAATGATTTAAGTTTCAATTCCATGCAATTGTACACTAAAAGTAATGCATTATTTCATTAGCTTTGGAAATATGTTAATACTTCATATTTTTCAAAAAAAATGATTGTATACCTATCGTTTTGTTTGGCATAGACAGCATTATTTAATTGTATTTCTCTTTTAGATCTGTATTATTCAAGTGCACTTAAATACTCTAGAACACAAAGTAGTATACGCAACATAAAATTTGAATATTACAAAAAAAAGTTTTATTTTTATATTCGCCTTGTCGTTATTTCTTCAACATGTCTTTTTCATTTAATATTGATTTACTTTTTATGTCGAGCTGTCTAATGTTGTTAGTAATGTCATATTGTTCAACATATTTATTAGTAATATGTATTAATAAACTGAAATGTTTGACATACGTCTGTGAGAGACAGTCTTCTAAAATCAAAACAAACAGTTCTGATGAGTTAAGCCCTTTACATCGGATTTTTAGAGTTTGTTCCAACGTTATTCTGTTACATCAATTTCATTGTTGAGGAGAGGGTTGAGCCATCACAAACACGTTTAACATCGCCGCATTCTGTATGTACATGTCCAAAAACAGGAGCCTGTAATTCGGTGATTGTCGTTGGTTGCTGTCTGTCATATCCGTTTTTTTCTCTTATTAATTTTATTAAATCAGACCGTGGCTTTCTCGTTTGAATTGTTTTGTCATGTTGGGATCTTTTATAGCTTTCTATACTGTACGGATTATTTTCCTTTGATAAAGACCGTACCGTGATCACTATGCTTACATCTATGTCATTTGGTCTCTGGTGGATAGTAATCACACTGGGTATCATACCACATCTCCTTATTTTATATAGAAATGACATATAGAGATCAACATACAATTGTATAATACAAACAGTCTGGATATATTGTGAAAATGATCGGCAGAGACTGTCAAAACACAAAGTTCTTGAAATACAAAACCAAAATAAATAAAACTAGTATGTAACTGAAGACAACTACTGAGTTCGGACAAGTAAAGTTACTTATTGCATAGTGTTTTACTTTTTTATTGAGCACTCCTCTCTTCGCCTTTTTATCCCAATCAGTAAAGATATATATAAAAGAACGTATTACGAAAAAAGTTCAGACATGTATACAACTCGGTATTGCAAACTAAAACAAAACGGTAGTACAATTCAATCAATACTTAATATTACCTTACGAAAAAAAAGTTTGTGATTTTAGCAAGAAAACTGATATAAAAATAAGGTACTGAGCAAATCATTATTTTTTTTTATCTAAAGTCTGTCAATAAAAAGTATCAGTGATTGTTAAAAATGTATTAAATTTCAGTTGGTTCAATACAGTACTCAGCTATAAATCAATTTCAATATTAATCAGTAAATTTTACACTTTATCTTTATTTATTTTACTTTGGAATTATTACCTCACCCATTCCCTGTTTTAGTATAATGAAGAATTTTTAGCGAAGGTAGGATAGCTTTTTATCACAAATCTTGACATAGTAATAACAACCCTGCACTTCACTATATAACCTTGCATGTCCTTTTTTATTTCATTAATACCAATAAAAATTATTACTCGAATAAATGACGTCACAAGAATCAATGTTAATGCCATATCATTTGTTGTCCCACTGTAAGCTTTTAGGTCTTCTCAAAAACGACTTTGCGAATTAGACTATTTGAGCATTCTTGTTCAGAAATCTGTCCTGTGACTTTCTTTGATGTTATATTTTTCTTTGAAACTATGAATTAAAATCTTTTAAAAAACAACAAAGATAACTATAAGGTTCTCCATAAAAAAAAAATCGGTATTTATTTTGAGTTGGTTTCATAGGAGACATTGTGTTACTACTACCATCTACTGTCCCATTGATTTCTGTATAAAATTTAATTTCTACCATCTTTTGGAAATTATAATATATATATATATATTCATAGGAAACATGTTTGGAAGTTTTTTCATGGAATCTGGTCGACTGCACCGGGAATTAGAACCTTGGGGCATTCTTGTTCAGCAATCTGTGCAGTGACTTTCTTTAATTTCATATTTCTTCCTTGATATTATGATTTGAAATCGTTTCAATTTTAAAAAGAAAGATAACTGGTTCGACTTATGAGTTTGAATGTCCCTTTGGTATCTTTCGCCTCTCTTCTCTATAAAGAATGGTTGTTAAGTTTGTGGTGTGTTTGTAGGAAACATTGTGTTACTGCTAGTAGCCTACCATTTACTATCCCATTGGTCCTGTAAAATATCATATTTTTACATTCTTTCGGAAACAACATATTCACAGGAGTAATGTTTGGAAGTTTATACATGAAACGTTCTCGGTTCCTCCCGGTAAGATAAAAACTATGCAACCAGAAAAAATTCTTCAGTCTGATTTTGGTCTCATAAAACCTTAAAATACTTCTGTTATGTTTCTAAAATTTCATGGAAAAAGTTGATATTATCCATCCATGTATGATTAAATGATATCCATAAATAGCTGAGTGGTTAGGTGCAAGAAATAAAATATAGCAAAATACCTATTATGTCGTTAATCATAAGCTACGTAAGCGATTTCTTTCTAGCATATGGATACTAATTAATCTAAACGTAATTCTACTTAATTACAATAAATAGACTAGACTTAACTTTATATTATATTGGTAGGTTGAAACGCTTTGGAGTTGATTGAGGTTTGTTTAACGCTTTTTGTGTTGTGCATTGTTTTTGAAAATGTACGGCTTTGCTTTCTTGTTCTCTAAATATTACCTCAATATTAAGTCACACACATGGCATAGTTGTCACTCTGTATACTTTTTCTTATTATCACTTTAATCACAGTAAATAAGCATCTTGATAAGAAATAATTACTAATATTTTGCACTTGTGGTAACAGAATAATATTTGAAATTCAGGTACATGAAACAGTTCATTAATTGAGATTTTTTTTTAATTTATTTTTTATATTGACTTTTACGATTATTTGTTGTTCTTAAATGTTTTTAAAAGTTTTAAGATTAACTATGAACTCACTTGTAGATATTTTTACAGTTTATGCATAATTTGCCTTCTTTTAACAATATTTAAGAAACAATTAAGCACATGCCTTTGCTTTTATACATTTAATTTAATGAGTGGCTAGAGTTATCTATACACAACCCAAAGGTATTTTAGAATAGAATGGAAATTTGTTTTATATAAATATCCATTATATGTGTATCTAACTTGTTAAAGATGTAAAACATATGAAAAATGACCTGATATTGCGCATTTTCATTTTCTAAAATTATGTTAAATATATTTGATTTCCTTCCACGCAACAAATACCGTAGGCAAGTGTTTTACTATCCCTATATAGCAATAGATCCGTGCGTTGTTAGAAAAAAATCATTCTTTATTCAAAAATCATGTTTTGCTTGTAAGTTGTATGATTGATTCATTATTGTATGCTATTTCATTTGATTTAAATTCGAACTGCAATTATTTCTATAATTTATATTTAACATTTTTCAGTTAAACTTTCATATTAAATTTTTTCCCATTTAAGAAACATGGATAACTTAATTACAGATTCATTGGGCTACATTACAAGCAGTAATAATTTCCGATTGTAGTTCTGAATGTATTGTTTAAACGGTAATCAGAGGAACTTAATAGTGTTCGTTCTGAGATTGATACTAACTTTAAATATAACTGTTATTTATTTATTTATTTTTTTAAAAACCAGTTAACTGAATTTGTTTTTCAATGTAACAATTAAATAGTTATATAATGTTATTTTTTTTCAGACAAAACATTTCATACAGGATGATGTACCCCCACCGCCAGCATATGAAGAAAAACTAACTGAAGACAAACAACCAACTCCTCCACCTCCTCAGGTAGAGGATGATTGGGATGAGACCCCTATTGTATTAGCAGTCACCTCACCCCAAACACAACCAACGCATAATCGTCCTAAATCTTCGTCTCCAGACCTCTTTGAAAAGAAGAAAAGAAAAACAAAAAAATCAAAGGTTACTCCTAGAGTCGAAAAGAATGAACAACCTTCAAATATGCCTTTTGACTTTTAATAATTGACTTTTGACAATGAAAAGCATGTCTGTGATACATTTATCTTGATGAACCGTCCTGATATGAATATAATGATATATCATATATCCGTCCTCATTTCTATGTAAATGCATGTTATAAAAAGAATATAAAAACATTTGATGTTCTTATAGTGTTGAATGAGTTTTATTGATCATTCTGTAAATGTGATTTTTATTGCAGATTAATGTATCTCATACTTGATTTACGCTTTTTTATCCCTTATTTTTCTTTTTTTCGTCGGTTATCTTAATCTATACAATACGTATGATGATATTGTTTAAATTGAAATCTTCCTATTTAGCATTTTTCTATCTACTAATTATATTTTCCATTTGATATTACTATCCTACAAGTTCTAAAGATAGTATTTCAGTGCTTTGGTACAGTCACCATGCGGCACACTTTTAAAAATTCAGTTTTTAAGTCTATTAGATATACTAGAATGAAAGCTACATATTCAAGGAAAAATGTTCATTTTGGTAGTTCCCATTCACAGTTATCTTATAATGGATTCGGCCTCTTGCACAGTCCATGTCGTCTATAACCTAAATAGAAAACTAAACCTTTATCTTACATTTGATTATTATCCATTCTTTTCAGTAAGTGAACGATGCAAACCTTGTAATTTTTTTTTTTATATGTTATTACTATTTGATTGAACTACTAAGTATTTTAAAACTAAGTTTAGCGAATTTGGAGAATAATTCTTTTCAACCATTAAAAATAGTTGTCACTATTTATTGTGGATCAAATGTGATAATTGTATTTTTTAATCATATTGGTTTTAAACTGGAACAGCATTAAACAATTAATAGGCTCATCTTTTTTTATTTTTCTACATAATGAAAACAATGTTCATGTAAATAGTATAGGTTATATTTCTATAAGTCTCGATTGCGTCTCTACGGCAGCATGTCTGAAGCTATCATTTTTAATAATCCCATTAATCATCACTATTAGGATAGAAAATCGTTGTGAAAAATTCATCTTTTCAGGTCTCTTATAAATTTAACTGATTGCAGTTTCAGTTAGCTAAAACAAGGAACTGTGAAATGAAGTTAATTAAGAATAAGCTTACATCAAGTTATGTTAATTTCTGTTATGAACTAAATGCATAAAACATGTTTTTGAAGTTAAATATATGTATATATATTTCAAAAATCGATGTTTTTTTACAATTCGTGTCATTAAATTACCCGGATACATTTTTTGTAATTATAAGGAACTTTACATTACCAGGTTATCATGACATCGATTTAGTTTCATTCATCAACAATTTGAATGCCTTACTATTTCACTCGCAATATTTTTATTAGAATTTTATAACTTTTTCTTTTTATATATTATATGGGGTACACAAATGTCTAGAGACACAGGTTGGTGTGCGTTATTATCATTATTGATTGACATTTAAAACAAAACAGAAAATCTAGTGACACATGATCCGTACGACTTCTATGAATATGCAAGATCAGAGTGTTCATTACAGCATGGAAGTATTATATTGACAGGAACTCCAACAAACCGATTTCAAACGTTTATAGTGCGATGCCGCAAAATCGTTAAGTATCTGTTAATTAACTTGACATCTTTCAATTAGTCGTATCGATGCATGGGTTCAACAACGTTTTCGGGATACTCGTAATTACGGAATTTACCGAAGTAACCGGATGTATACATAAATGTCAAGGATATGACATTTAACGACCATGCCAATATTTGGCAGTTGACAGTTTTTTACTAGGTTTTCTATGTTAATAAACTATCGTCACTTACAAATATTTCACTAATCAGTATGGACGTGCACGATTTTGATGATGAAGAATTTGAAAAAATTATCGGTGAAGACATTGAAGAGTTTTATTGCTTTTGTAAATCTGAAACTTGTTCAATAGAAAAGATAAAGGCTGTACGGTGACCTATAGTTGTAAACTTCTATGTCATTTGGTCTCTGGTGGAGAGTAGTCTCATTGGCAATCATATCACATCTTCGAATTTTTATATTGAATTCTAATAAATTTCTTGTGTAAGGAAACACATCATGAGTTGCAATCTGCATGTGTAATTGAGGTTTACTGCTAACTTTGACAAATATCTTGTCGCATTAGTTACTGAAAGTCCGATGTCAAATATTTCATGCATTTCAACAAAAACAAAATATTATAAATTTCTAAACAAACGCTGCAAGATGTTTCAGATATGTTAAGCCTTTACAAATACATTTAATTCTAAACTGGTTAATTCTAATGATAAAATTTTAGGAATATACTGCTTAGGACCCAGCATTATGATAGTTCTTTAAATGCATCGAAATATTTAAAATTAAGCCATTATTTCCCAAAACAAGTCCGTCAGACGTCAGAGCAATCTCGGACTAGGTTGAAGGTTGTTTTAAACTTTTGAATTTATTCAAAAGGTGTACATGTAATCGGTGTTATAACCTTATACATGCTATATGAAGAGGCCATCACGTGCGTATAATTATCCACCTCTCTTAGTGTTTAAAACATTTTCTATAAATATGTTAAATTACATTTTACGATATTTTACGATAGAGAAAACCATTTTTTGTGTTACACTCGATTAAAGTTTTCAATCTTTAACTTAAAATTTGAGTTATCCGGCACCATCCGGCACACTACACGCGCATCACATTATTTTCTGCAAACACTCTACTTCAGAGTCATGTAATTTTCATAACCGGATATTTCCCGATTTCCTAGTTCCAGTGATAAAAACATATCAAACAAAAATAAAAATAATATTACCTTTTTTCCGAATACAATTAACTTTCTTTTGTCATTCTGTTAAATATGGACCGATTTTTTAGATTGTTTCAGCTGTAGTCTTTAATTATTGAACAGAAACAGGTGTCGTTATTCATGTAGCGATTCGCAATTAGCCACGGGAGTTTCCGTGTTAATTTACATTGGTAGGTAGATAAGACCTTCGATAACAGATCACGTGATAAGATCAGTTTCTGTAAACTATACAGGCGAAGGCGGCATCGCAGATACCCCACAAAGAAGTTATCACGTACTTGAAAAACTGAGTCGGAACCTTTTATTTTCCTAAAGAAATCAGTGGGATGCGAATGTGCTAATTTTTCGTTGGAGTTCCTGTCAATATAATACTTCCATGATTACAGTAACTTGGCCATTTGTTTTGTTGTTTTATACAACTGCTATTTTAATATAAATCTATTCAATGTAAGCGAGATGAGATGTAAACTGATCTACATCATGTGCTTCCGTCATCAATGATATTGCTTATAAAGGAATATTTACAAGTAAACTGTTGTTAGATTTTCTGTTTTGACTTTGTCTTATGTTCTCTGTGCTGCTGTATCTTTTCTTGAGTGTGCTGTAGTATGACACTTGATATCTTCACAGAGTAATAATTAATGAGCTGGTCTCATGAGATGCAAATATTTATATATTTTATCGTCATATATGACATGACTTTTGGTTATTTTCTTAATATTGTTGACAATAAATTTGTCTGTTCATCTAGATGTTGTTTTCTTTTCTGCGACGAATGTTTCAATAATGTCGCTTAGGCGAGCTTTGTATCCCTTCGGTGGTCATAGACAAGCGTAACAGGATACCAAAGTTAATTTATATGCACCATATCATGACGCATTTTCACCAAACATTATAATTTTATAAATGAATAGGTATCGAAAACAGAAGAGCAATACATTCGCAATAGCACATAAAGCACTTCAAAACCATCTTCAGAACACATATACAACTTGAAAGTAAGCCTTAAATATAATCTGCTTTGAAAATAGAAAATTATTTAGTGTATATCACGCCAATATAAAATTATACGAATGCGGGGTAGTGATGAGGGCTAGTGTTAAACAATTACAAGATTCCGCAAGCAATAGTACAAAAACTCAACATAGAAAACTTAAGACTGAGCAACACGAACCCCACCAAAGACTAGGGGTGATCTTAGGTGCTCCTTAAGGTTAAGCGTGTTGCTCATGTTAGTGCAAACCCGGTGAAAAGTTCCGATTCGGTAGGTCACATTCGGGGAAAAGGTGACAAAGAATAGTAAATTGTTCAACACTTAAATTGTTCACGTCCTAGAACAAAACTGCGAAAATTATTGATAAAAAAAACACAGAATCATTGGACGAATAATATAAAACGTCTTTTGGTCCCTAAAAATAAAAAGGCCACATGTTTCAAGAGGGCAAATAAAAACATGAATCGAACAATATCGTGACAAAAAGAGAACAGTTACATGAATTTAATTTTACTATTGGTATATCGAAAAATCGGGAAAAAGTGCCAAATGCATGGATTTTGGTACAATCAATTCCTGCTGTCAAACAAAATTGACCTATTGAATTTTATGTTACAAAAGTCAGAACGCACGACACGTGTCTCTACAATAATCCTCGTTTTACAGATCTATATTCATGTCTGTGCTTATCCTAAAGGCTGTGTGTGCCCTTTCACAATACCAATTGCTGAAATATTTTTCAAATTGCAGTTTGAATTCATCTCTACAAATTGATCAACTGGTAAAACAGTTTATCTTATAGCTATTGAAAGGTTGTTAGTATGAAGCAAGTGCAGTGTAATAAAAAGAAATAGAGATAAATTCAAACTGCAATTTTGGTAATGGTACTGGGAAAGGGTAAAGCCTTTAGGATAAGCATAGATAAAAATAGATGTGGTATGATTGGCAAAGAGACAAATATACGCTTAGGACCAAATGACGAGCATGTAAACATCTATAGATCACCATTCAGCACTTGTAGTTTCCGGTAGTTACCTGTTTTACCTTTTGTAAATACCTCTTCTATCAGGAGAACCTGGAATTCTTCCAGTAGTTGTTTTGTATCTTATGTTACACTATAGTACACTATTTAACAAGTCTGTTTTCTTCCACCTCAATACCTCTATTAATTTTGGTTTATTAGTTAAAAAAACCAAATTTATTTTATAGTAAGAAAACCAGGACGGGTTCAAGCAGAAAGATTTTGAAAGCAGTGAAACTATGCACCTTACAATCATCATGATTTTATCAGATTATAATACGAATACTAAAAATAAAGGCATAGGTACTTTGATTCAGTCGCAGACCTGCGCCCGCGGGTTTGTTCTA